GATCTCTTGCTTAGGTCGCTTTTTATTAACAGATTTTTCACCTTCATCAAAATAGTCGGGACTCTTAATTAGCTTCTTAGATGAAGGAGTGAGTGAAGATCCAGATGATGGATTCTCAAGTTCGTCAGAACTCGTAAGCATCAACGGTTGCAGAAATATAAAACATTGCCGACGTAACAATTTAACTAAACGATCAGATAAGCAAGCTTGAGAAGTCTGTAAAATGTATCCTATATATTACCTCTGATCGAGAATCCCACTCAGTCATAATGTCGTCATCTTGAGACAATAGATCTACTACATACGGAGACTGGCTTACTTTTGTATGCTCTTCTGAAACTATTATTTTGAAAAGCATCCTCATGGTTAGGAGTTTTGTCAAGCCATCAGGGAGCCCTCTTGGTAAATCCTGCGCAGCATTATATTAAATGGATTAATATTATTTCAGAAAATATAAATAATGCATAATGTATACAATTGTTTAACAAATAACCTCATCATTTTGTTCCATTATAGACTCAGCTGAATGACCTAACAATCTTTGAGCAGTGTCATCAAACATCAGGAAGATGACATTGACGTCTGAATCATCAGTTACAAATAATACAATATAGTACCTACATAGTTTGAAAGGAAACAGAAGAGTGTGTTATTTAAACGTTACATGAATAAACATGTAATGTAGTGTTGGAATAAATGTATGCTGGGATGAATCAATGTAATAAAATAAGGCGAAAATTTAGCCAGTCAATAAGAGAAAGTCTACATGAAATAATTCTGCTATATCTGCTATATATCTTACCAAATAAGGTCCTAATGAAATAAGTAATGTTTTCTTGACTTTATGGGACAAATCATTGTATTACCTTGCGACGATGGTATCATATGAATAAATATTTTCACAAATTTTGCAACTGAAAAGAGGAATCCTCTTATCGTAATCTTCATAATCAGACATAATGCCATGCTCTAAAACTTTGATGTTGCAAGGTTTGCATGCCCAATAATACTACAGCTTTGAAGTGTCAACGTCTTTGACCGTTACGCATGTTACAATTTGCCAGGCTATAACAAAACCATCAATATGTATATAGTGAAATGTAAATATATTTGTACCATGAATAAAATATAGCTCATACCACTTTTGTATCACGAATTCCAGCTATCGTCCGCCTCCTATTTTTCACACCTAAAACTTTTTCACGGTAGTCAATAGCACCACCCCAAGAAATCGAATAACTCTGTTCAGCATGCACAATCATTTGATTATTTTTGACAACCTACAAAACTGTAAACAATAATTCTATAAATAAAACAATGTTAAAATGATATTAAAATTGTCACATAACATACTTTTCTCTGAAGTCTTTCACGATCTGGATGTCAAGATCAAACAAAATTTTGGTGGAGTTGAAAGCGTTTGATATTGAAATGTCACTTATACTCAAAAAACATAAAATAAGAATAATTAACAAACTAATCTAATATCAATCTCTACAAACTGTGTATATATGAATAGGGGATATAGTGATCTAATCTTTGTACTCTTTTATACAGACAAATCGCTTTACACAAACAACATAGCAGCCATATGTTTGTCAGTGTACTCGATAGTTGATTTTGCATATTGTCTCCATAGTGTACATTTTAGTTGGACATCGCTTCAACAATAAACATATTAGTGTTCCATTGTTAAAATATTGTTATGTTTATTTTGGTATGATATCATAACTACTTACTTGGTATTCTGGAGTATTATCATTAATTTCTCGCTGATCCCACTTTTGGCTTTAGTTTTTATAACTTTCATACTCCCAACGGTGACAATTTGTCCAATGACATCTTGAAGACAAAATATTTGTATACAATGATAAATATGTACATTAGAATATAGTTATCAAAATCGCGATGATGACATATCGATGAGGATGTTTTTGTCGAGTTTGTCTTCCTTGATTGACTTGAAATCAGACAAATATTTCTTTGGCAAGTCTGATGGAAAATCATTAATCTCCTTAGCACGGATTGTTCTGCACAAATCGATCTTGTATGGTAATGGAGTAGTCCTAAAATCACCATAGTATTCTTAAATGATGAAGCAATTAATAGAAAGTGATTTTCCTTCTATAAGGATGCATTTATGTTTTGCGATCAATTCTTCATCAACAGTAGCATGAATCCTAGTGTTGTATGAATCACACATAAATAGTATTACTATATAATCTATGGGTTGATTAAAACAACAATAAACAAAATACATAAGATCGCATACAAACCTCTTCGTCAACCAATAACAAAGCCAGACTGCATGTTCTTGACTTTCCAAAGTGAAAATATAGTAGCTCTAACTTTCTGAATTTACTTGATTGATCTAATTTGACAAATGGAACTATAGCAGCCGAACGTCTGTGGACTAAAGCTATTTTTGTGAATAAGAATGGTAGAGTTTTAGGGTTTAGGATAGGTGGTATATATAGGGAGAGGAAGTCAATGAGAACATTTAAAATTGATGTTAGGCGGGGTTGAAATTATTTTGAAAAAGAGAATGAAATGAAGAATATGTATATTCGGAATGTGCGTAGAAGTAGGTATTGTTGCGGAAATATTTGAGAATCAATATATTCAAATTGATTTAATTGCCAAAATTGACGTATAGTATTAAAATGTAAGATAAATTCTTGTTTCTTTTTGAAATATTAAGGTTTCTGTATATTCTTTTACATTAACTCCGGTTAATCTTGATTATAGTTAATGTAATCTTCCATTTTGGAAAAAAAATTCTAATTTATTACACGGAAAAGTTTTTTAAAACCATAATTTTAAAAATTTGATAAATAGGCTTGTATGAAGTATTGGGCCAAAGGATGTTTTTAAAATACAGATAATTGGACCGGGTCGGGTATAAAGATCTGCATGTGTATCCGTTTATGATTTTGTCTTTTTGTTTTTTTTAAATTAAAAAAACTTGAACAGAAATTACACATCAGCATCAGCATCCAATGAAATTGCGCATAACTAGCGTCCTTGCAATGTCATATTTGACGGAGCTTTTCTAAGCCAATCAAATTAAAACAAATCGGATTTTTTCTCTAAACTACATTTTCATTTAATATATAAGATTTTATTATTTGTTTTTTAAATTGTATAAAAAAAATTATTATTTGTTTTAAATTGTATAATTTGCATTTTATCTAAAAACATTAAATTTTAAAATAACCATCATAGTTCTTACAGTTTTTAACAAAATTATCAGACTTTTAATAGTAACAATCTCAGTTTCTACATTCTCAATCTCTGCAATCACCCAGAATCTAGTAAGGGCCTGTTTACGCTCTCGCTGCGGCAGATGATCGGCGACACAAAATTATAACGTATTTGAGCTCCAAGTTTGTGGAAATTGGAGATTGGCAATCAACGAAAAAAGACGCAGCAACGATCACGATCAGTAAAATAGACGCTGGTCTTTTCAGCGTCACCTCAAATGTCGGCAACACCAGAAAAAACGAACGCAGCGTCATCTATTTTGATTCACCACCATTTGTTTTGCCCGTGATAATGTTATAATTATTGGTCGCGATCGCTGACACAGCAACGACACGCCTAAGGGCTTGACTGGTAAAACCGCAACGGTTGCGGTTGCGAGTGCGGGAGTTTGCGGAAGCAGACGATTGCGGTTTTGAGAGTTATTCAGCGGTTTGCACGACTGGTTAAACTTTTTAAAGCAGGTCTGTTTGCGGGACATTTTTGACTGGCAAACCAGCGGTTGTTTTAACGGTTAAACATAAAATTACCAAAATAAATATCATATATAATTATAAGAAAACAAAAAAAAACTATATTATTATGATAAATATCAAAATCACTATTTCAAAATAATTAATAAAAATTATAAATAAATATTAAATAATTATTTTAAAAACTAATAAATTTTATAATAGTATATTTTATTTCAATTATTGGGAACATCACCCAAAATTGTGTCTAATAATGTAATAGACTGGAAAAAATTTGTTCCAATACGTAGATCTTCTGGATTATATTATGCATGATGTAAAATTTCTTCAATTGATCTAATCGATTTTTTGCACGACCCCAACTCAAATCAACTCCAAATTGCTCATTAGTATTCAAAATACGTTCTTTCTGGAGTGTAGTAAAAAATCTAGAATATTTATCTTGAGTTTATTTTTCCACAATGATTCGTTGAAGTAACGCATATATCATCTCGTTTGATCATGTAACTTTCTGAAGAACAAAAAAAAGAATTATAACAAACTAATTTTGTAATTAATAAAATACATATTTATAATTTCTTATTTTAAAAGTGGAAACAGAAAAATTAATATTAATGAATTAAACCAAAGTATTATGGCACTTACTTGTATCTTAATTTTCTTCAATTGATATGAAAGTCATGATTAGAGACTAGAACTTGATAGAAAAAGTGAGAGGTTTAGGATTTATATATAGGAGAATTAGAGTTTTATAATTATTTTTAACGTCATCTTTTATTTTATTTTTCTAGCGTGATTTTATTTTTTTTTAATTTTTTTACCCAATCGCTACCATCCGCAACCGCAAACGCTGGCGGGAAGCAGCTTTTGGATTTCAGCGGTATAAAACGATACAGAACGGTTTGCAACGATTCCTATGATTGTGATAAAACGCCACTAACCGCTATCAACCACTACGTTTGCAGGTGATAGCGGGTGAACCAATCAATACCTAACAGACCCGCGTTTGGCGTTTGCGTTTTTCAAGAAAAGAAATATTTGAGATTTATCGCAATATATTTTTTTGATAAGTAAAGAATCGTATCGCAATAACATGTTATTAATGCACCAGCGAGATACGTGGAGAAAGGTTAAGAGATCACATGGGATCGTGAAGTATATAACTAATCTACAACACAATATGCACATGATCAAACAATCTTTCTAAAATCTAAAGCAACCATATTAATAAATGTTAATTAAAAAAGTTGATATCATAATCGTTAACAAAAAAAAAAATCGATTAAATCTTTTGAATTAGTACATTAATCCAGATCAATTAGAGAGCAAAACAAAAGATTCTCCTAGTTTAATCCCCTAATTATCATATTTACAAAAAAAAAACCAAAGAAACTAACGAATCCTAACCGTCGAATCTCCGGCGAGATTCCGAAACGGTTTTTCAAGCTCCGCCGCGAACCATCATCTTCTTAAACTCTTCGAAATTAACGCAACCGTCACCGTCAACATCAACACTGCTAATCATCTTTTTACAATCCTGAATCGAACACTTCTCGCCGAGATTATTCATCACCGACTGAAGCTCCTTCGCCGAGATCCATCCGTTACCATCCAGATCGTACAGATCAAACGCTGCCTTCAGATCTTGAGCATCGTTTCCGTTGCTGTTTCCGTCTCCGATCTGGAAAAGCGCGACGAACTCGTCCATGTCGATGAATCCGTTACCGTCGAGATCCAACTCTTTCATCATCGATTTCGTTTCTTCCGGCGACGCCGTGGGACTGAGAGCTCGGATCACGTCTTTTAGCTCGTCGATCGAGATTTTCCCGTCGCCATTTTTGTCGAATCGTTGGAATACTTTTCGGATATCTTCCATTGAACCTAAGCAGTTTCTAGCACCGTTCTTCGACATTGCAACAGAGAGAAAGAGAGAGATTGCAGAGAGAGTAGAGAGAAGATTTTTAGAAGTTTCGAGAAAACTAAGAGAGTAGAAGAATGCGTTTGGTTATAAATAGGAGGAAAGTTTAGAGGAGAGTGACGAAATAAACGCGGTTTTAAAAACGCGTGAAAGATTGCGTGGGATGGAGTGCATAGTATTATTAATTCTGATTTTAAATTTACTTTCTTTTTTTTTAACTATACTCTCTTGCCAAATTTTGTTTTTATTGACTTTATACTTTACATTATGGTTACGATTGTGTTAATCAGTTGTTATGGCAATTGAATATTTTTTTAATTTAAATGAAATATAAATATAAGATTCTGTTGAGATTGTACGACAGTTTTTTCCATATTGTTTTCAATCATGACACTGTAAGGATATCTTTAAATATTCTGAAGTTGTGAAATGATATTGCATATCAGATAGTGTGATTACCGATCGAATACTTGAATCGGACACCTGAATCGGATCAAAAATTTCATACATTTTGTTCAATCCTAATAAACCAACTTTATAGTATTTAAAAAATATAAAATTTATTATATAAAAAATGATTTGAAGTTAATAATTCGCTTGATTCGCGACTATGGCTCATATAACGTCCAAACAAACTGAAATCTAGTGAATCTAACATCTTTGGATAAATATTATGTTATGAATTCCACAATCTAACATCTCTTATAAAATTCAAATAAACTATGTTATGAATTCCACAAAAATTGCGAAGAATATATAAATATGTATTAGGATACCGGTCTCACTACAAGAAAACAATCGTTTTCCAACGGTCCATTACGACGGTTTTCAAATCGTCGCAAGAGTACAACGATTTTACAACGATTTTACGACGATCTAACGTCTAATTTTAAAACCGTCGTAAAACCGTCGTATATAAAAATCGTCGTAAACTCGACGTACAATTTACGACGAATTACGACGATTATACATCGATAACGAGAGATTTGCTAATAAATGTAAAATCGTCGTAAATTCGTCGCAAAATTACGACGAATATACGACGACTACATTTCGATGTACATGTTACGACGATTGTACGTCGAAAAAGGAGTTAGGTGAAAAACATTTAAAACATGTTTACCTAACAATTGTAGATGAAAAATTTTATCGCAAAATCGTCGTAAACTCGTCGTAATATTATTGTTGAATGTACAACCGTCGTAAAAAGTCGTCGTAAAAGCGTTGTAAAGCCCGAAATTTTCCTATAAATAGATCTTCATTTCTTCATTCAATCACAACACATCATCATTCAAACATAAGAGCATCTTCATCTTGGAGACCCATTGTAGGTCTCTTAAATTTTAGTATAGTGTTGTAAATCCTTATATATTGGGTTGTCCATTGCTGAAAACCCGAATTAAGAGTTATATTACTTTGAATCAAAGAAGTAATAATATTATAAGGTTAATTTACTTCATTCACGTGGCTAGACGTGACACAAGAGACCACCTCCTTTATTGTCTAATCAATAAAAAGAGATAGTATTTTGAATTTATTTTCAAGATGTCTATATACGAGCTAAGAAGTTGGATGTATATGCGTAAAGATTCAGATGGGGCGTTGACAGAAGAGTTCAAGAACGGGTTAGAAATATTTATGTATCAGGCTACAAATATGGAGAGAACGAAAGATAGTGGGAAAATGTTTTGTCCTTGTTTGAAATGCAAGAATACGAGGTATACACTAACCAAAACCGTGTGGACGCATTTATTAAATTTCCTGATGGGTATGTCTCTAATCTTTCCAAATCTGTTGAGAAGGGGGTAAAGTTTGCTGGGATGAAAAGCCATGACTGCCATGTCTTTATGCAACGATTATTTCCATTTGCATTTGCTGAACTCTTGCCCAAAAACGTCTATGAAGCTATTGGAGGCATTGGTTCTTTTTTTCGGGATCTTAGTACACGAACATTATCAGTTGATGTAATATCACAATTGGCATTGAATATTCCAATCTTGTTGTGCAATTTGGAAAAGATCTTCCCACCATCATTTTTTGATGTTATGGAACATCTTCCTGTTCATCTCCCATACGAAGCAGAGCTCGGTGGACCCGTTCAGTACAGGTGGATGTATCCGTTCGAGCTTTTCATGAAGCATCTTAAAGGTAAAGCCAAAAACCTAGCTAAAGTGGAAGGCTCAATTGTGGCGGGAAGCTTAACGCAAGAGACTTCACACTTCACTTCATACTATTTTGCACCGAAAGTACGAACACGCAAAAGAGCTACTCGTCGATATGATGATGGAGGGGTTGGCCATACATATGCCGTTGAAGGTGTACCTGACATATTCTCGCCGATCGGACGTCTTAGTGGAAAACTAAAAGATGTTTGGTGGTCCAATGAAAAAGATTATCACAGTGCACATACATATATCCTGTTAAATTGTGAAGAGTTGTCATCGTATGAAAGGTACCTTTTTAATTAATAATATCTTTATATGAGTTGTCAGTATTAATAACTATTTGTTGTTTTTCTCAGCACATTTGTTGATGAGGTTAAAGAATGCATATCTGGGATTTCTGAAACGGAAATCAATGATCGTAAAGATCAACACTATGCCCAGTGGTTAAAAGGGCAAGTACGTATAAAATTTTAATTAAAAGAGTACTACTTTAATTTGCTATATATCGAAATCAAGAAATAAAAGCGGAATTTATTTCTTATTAGGTGGACCCGAATGATCCGGATGAATTTCCAACATGGTTCCATGAGTTACTACTAGGTCCGATGGCAAAAATAACTACAGCCTCAATGTATTTCACTCGGGGCTATGTTTTTCACACATACCGTCATGGTGCAAAGCGGGCGACAACAAACTATGGAGTTTGTGTGAGGGGTGAAATCGATTTTTATGGAGTTGTGCAAGAAATAATTGAAGTAGAGTATCCTGGATTGTTAAGCCTGAAAACTGTTCTCTTCAAATGTGATTGGTTTGATCCAACTGTTGGACGAAGGGTACGTCTAAACAAGTTTGGAGTTGTTGACGTGAACAAATCACGACGGTACAACAGGTTTGAGCCATTTATATTAGCTTCTCAAGCAGAACAGGTAACGTTTCTGCCATACCCTCGAGTTTGATCAACAGGAATTTCATGGTTAGCTGTAGTTAAAGTGGCTCCGAGGGGCAAGATTGTAGGGGTTGAGGATGTTCCACTTCAACAGGACACTTGCGTAGATCTGTCTGAACCAGATGTTGATGAGGAGATTTTCTTAATAGACCCTTGGAACAGGCAACTTGAAGATCTTCCTGATGATACAGAAGAAGAAGGTGATGATGAGTTTGCTGAAACCGATGATGACGATTTGGCGGAAGAAGATGGTGATGGTGATGAAGTAATAGAGGAAGATGAATCCGATTGAGTTTCATGCATTGTATTTAGTGAATGTTTGTTATTATGTAATTTGTAACTTTGTTTGTTTGAATTTTTTAAAACCATAAAATTCGATTTTACGACGGTTTTTCTAAACCCTCAACCATAAGTCTAGGTTTTAAGCCCTGAATGAATAGGGTTTCAACATTACGACGTCTTTACGACGAACCATCGTAATATCGTCGTAAATTTACGACGGTTTTACGACGAGTACACTATTTTGTCGTAAAAGCGTCGTAATGCCTAAATCCAAGAATTTGAATCTTTTATATCTTATTGGTTGTAAGGTATTTCACAATTGTTTTTGATTGGTTATCTTATTTTATATGAAATGCTATCAATATTATCAAAATCAAAAATTTGAAAAAAAACATACATATTTACAAGTTCATGCATGTTTTCGTAAATGTTAAGTGAAAGGTTATATATTAGATTACAGAATTTCATTTTTTACTATCTCATGTCATAAATCCATCATACATGCAAAGTTGTAAACCTTTTATTATATGTTACGATACAATAACCTTTGCATTGTTCTTTATGCAATATCCCATTTATAAGATTTAGGGTTTACTCACTTTTTTAAAAAACATCGTAAAATCGTCGTAATATAATCGTAAATTTACGACGGTTTTACGACGACTAAACCCAAAACCATCGTAAAACCGTCGTAACGTTTGCACTGGATATGCTCTTGATCCGAGGTACGAGGTTATAAATGTTTAGACATTACGACGATTTTACGACGGTTTAGGGTTAAATCGTCGTAAAACCGTCGTAACGGTCAAATGCTCCCATCACGACACGTGTCATGTCATGCAGTGGACCAACTGTTCTACAACCAAATCGTCGTAAAACCGTCGTAAAATTACGACGATTTACGACGATCACAAAATCTATATAAGGGACGAGAGATTTCCCCTTTCCGTCGCTCATTCCTCTCTTCTCCCCTCTCTCTCTACAATACTTTCTCTCTCTAATCCCTAAACCCCTCCCTCTCTCCCTACTCTCACATCCAAAAGTTGTAAGTTTTTTTTTAAATTAATTTCATTACATATTATTTTAGATTTAGGTTCGGAATTTAGATTTAGGTTCGGAATTTAGATTTAGGTTTCGGAATTTAGATAGGTCCGGATTTTGTAAATTTTAATAAATATTTGAAAAATTAGTAACAAATTTTTTAAAATTTTGTAGATTCTGTCTCGATGGCTCCTCGGGCTAAGAGATTTCACTACCGACAGCTCGTCGATTTTGACGGTACGGCCCCGTCTACCTCGGCGACCAGATCAGCCATCCCGGAGTCCTCGGAAACACAACGGATGGTTTCCCAACCGGTCGTTGTTCCGCAGCCGGCACCGCCTCCACCACCACCAGCTGAACCAGCGGCTCCCGCACAGGCCGAGCCTGAGGCTGATCCGATCCCGCCTGTACCGTATGCCCAGTTTACGGTACAGGATCTTCTGGCGCAACCCGGTCGTGGAACCATGAACAAACTCGACCCGGATCAAGCCTCCGGCACCTATTGGTACGTAATTTTTTTCCTACAATATTTTTAAATTAATTAATATTTATTCTTATATATTTGATATTAATTTACTTTTTCTCTTTCCATTTGACTAGGTTTACGACCGACAATGCAGTCG